TTTTTCATGTTTATTAGCTCATGGAGAATTAACAATTGAATTTAGGGTGTGTCAAAAAGGGTTCCTATGTGCTAACAAGTTCATGTGTGTTTATGTGGAGCGTTTGTTCATTTTGACATATAGCACTTGAGATTTTCACCACACATTATGGACAGCCAAAAGGGTATTAAAATAAAGTAAAGCATGAGTGTGTAATGAGTAAATGTGACCCGTAAAAATGACTCAAATTATGTCTAAATGTTATTTTTTCTAGAACATTTGGTGAGAAATTTACCGAGAAATTCAAAACTTTATATTAGATTTCTTTTTTCAGTTTACGCCAAGAATATTTCACTTGGCTACTTTGTTCATTTATGGTAAATTATTTTCCTTTTATTTCCATTGTGCACGAGAGGAAGAAAAAGTGCTTCGTTCAATCTTTCGAATAATTTTATATATTATATTTTTTAACCACAATTGTTATTTTTAGATAAATTTTTGCTTTTTGAAATTTTATTTTAATTGTTTGAGTTACGTACTTTCTTTAAAAAACTGTTTTCAAATTTTCTATTTATTCATTCGAAAGAAAGAAAAGTAAAGAGAATTAAAGAAAAGAATGCAATTAAAAAAATAAAAATATATTGTTGAATGTTCTTTATGGTTTAAAAATAAACTTTCATATAGTATTAATAAATATTTATAAAATTGAGCAAAAAATCCCATATAATTAAGTCTGCAAAAATTTATTTGGAAATTTAGCAATTCGCTGATAATATTAATAAAATCCATAAAATATATTTGGCGTTATTATTGCTTGAAAGAATGATGCCAAATTTGAAAACGCGCCAATGTATAAAGTATGTATAAATATATAAATGTATAAATTTTAGTAAATTTTGAACATCAAAATCTATTTTTTGCAGGTATGCTTTGAAATATATTTACTTTAACCCGGGAGCGCGCGCGCTCTTTTGAGTTACACGAGCACGCGCCTTGGGTCGAAAAAACCCGCCTCGTGATTTTTGAAGAAAAAACTGTTACTCCTTAACCTTTTCGCGACGGCGCACCTTTGTTTAAGACGCTCGTACGGGACGGAAGAGAATCGAAGGCAGTCACCGTACAGGACGGAGGTTTTGCATCGTTAAGCCTAATTTTATAACAAAAATTTTTGGTATCATTTTAGATTATTACTTGAGCTCTTATATATGTTAAAATTAGCCCTTAAAACATTTATTTCTTTATTTTACATGGAAATATACTTAAAAAATTGCTTATCTTCCATAATACTTTTCGGAAGCGCTATTCAAATTATTCTAAAGTTTTAATTGATAAAATCCATCAATAAAGTTTTAAAATTATTAAAAAAACACAATAAAGACTATTTACAGTAAGAAGTAACAAAATTTAAAATGAAAACGAGCGTGGTAAATTTCGAAGCACAGAGAAGTATCACCTTGTAACTCTTAGAAAAAGTATCACTTTTTAACTCTTTAGAAAATGAATTAGTACTCTCATTTGCGTTAGTAAATGGTTCACTAACCATACTATTCTTCCTCTGATAAATAGCGCCTCCTTCCCGCCATAATAGACTGGAGGTGAGGCTTTCCTAAATAAAAAAAGAAGGAACGGAAATATATCTGAAGGCAATGCAAAACGTAAAAAATCTCCGCACAGTAACCCTAAAAGACCGTACAAAGTAGAGGAAAAAAATAGAGTAAAAAAGGATTTGGATATAAATCAGATACGAGAATGTTTTCATTAGCACGCAGCTATTTAAAGAGCCTACCTCTGTTTACGCTTTTCCTCCGCCCCCGCCCACCCTCGAAAAGCTGATGAGTAAAATACCAAACTCAAGTAGAATATATCAAACTAAAGGTCAGGAACCTAAAACTGTGTTCATTTCAAAAGTAATGGACACAGGATGCCATCTAGTGGCCTTCAGAAAAACGTTCCACCTTAAAATGCATATACGCATCACCCGTCCTCTGAATGCGATCTTTACTGATGCGTGGATGGGACGCCCGGCTGTAAGAGACGTTCTTATGGAATGCGTATATGAGACGCCCGTCCTGAAAGGATTAAGTAAAAGTGTTACATTTGTACCAAAATATTATGATCAAACTTAAAAAAATATGCAAGTTATAAGAATTAAATTTTACTTTCTATAATATTTTTATGGAATAAATTTTTTTAAAGGAACAGAAAAACATATTATATTAATACAGCATTTATTAGGAATTCATTATGTTATTAGTCAGGTTATTCAGGAATTATTATTCAGGTTTATTAGGAGTATACTGCCTGGAAGAACGTCTTCCTCAGAAAGCTTCAAGTTTTCATCAATTGTTATGAAATTACCGACAGTGTAATATTTCTGGCAGTTAATCACTAAATCTTAAAAAACCTCTCTTACATAGGTGCAAATTTATCTGTTATCGCGAGTTCCTAGATCATCAAAACGCAAACATCTTGATAATAAAAAGAAAAAGTTTGTAGGACATAGTTTTGTGGAAAAATTCCGAAACGGTTCCGTCTGTTGCCCACACATCCCGCACATTTACATGAAATTACTTATGTCACAGAAATATAAGTGTGCTATAAAAGCGCGAATTTCAATTAGAGTTTTGTGACGAGAATCTCTCTCTCTTTGAAAGCTATCAGAAATAGATGCAGTATAAATATTTGTGTAACTGACGATTTTCAGGAATATTTGTGCGCTTAGTAAACGTTCCCACGATTCATTTGATAATAATATTATGAGCTGGAGTTCTTCTAACATCAGTCTAACATCAGCTTTAGGCTTTTCTTTTGACCATTGCTTTTTTTGTGTTTTCCAATAAAGCAATAAATGTTTTTTTAAATGTCTCATTTTCGTTTTCAGAATGCATCTCGATTTCTGAATCAGTATCATGAGAACTAAAAAATTCACTATAACTTTCTTCAATGGAATCTTCAACAGTTGATACATCTTCTAATAATTTTTGCAAACGTAACATTTCTTCTTTATAGGAAAAGTTACATGACATGTTTGCAGCTTTCTGTGCTACCGCAAATGAACTACGTTACAGCAATGCGAATAGGCGCGCTATGTCTGAGAGACCAGACCCGATCAAAACAAAACTTCAAATCAAATTTCCGGCGAAAAACTTCTGAAACATAAAGAGGATGGCCTTAAAGGAGACTACACTGAACCACAAACACTTGGGAAAAAAAGAGGCATTTTCAAAAAGGTTTCTTTAATCGACCGGGTTTATTGGACTCAGAGAGCACACTCGCGGGTTAAGATGATGTTAAAAACTTTACATTTTATTAGCAAAAAATTATCTTGAAGAATTTATAAAATTTACAAAAAAGTATGATTAAAAAAATCAGAAAATATTTGCGAATTTTTTTGGATGCAACTGAATTTCGATTTGTGAAATAAGCAAGCGGGTAAATTAAAAAAAAAGAGAGAGATTAAGGAACATATATACAAATTTAATTAACACTGAGGAGGCAAAATTTTGAGTGTTTATATCTTGAAACCTTCTCTTGAGAATTTTTCAAAACTAGGCACTTTGGTATAATTCGGGTCGAAGAATCGAAATATAGAAACAAACAACCTGGTGTATTATTTGACAAAAAAATCTACATTGTGTCAAAATACCTAGTATGTTTGGATAATGCATATAATATAAATCTAATATATGTTTTAAATCGCGCTTTCGAGACATGGAAAACACAAGATAAATTTCATTAGTCGGCCCAGGAGAACTGGACATACTGGGTTATCAGTCCAGCAGTGACAAACTTTCAGGAGTGATAGAGTATACCTAGAACATTGGAAATCGCATAGCAATGTATGCTTTCCTGGTGGGGTAGTGACAGCACAAAACGCAAAAAGGAAGGACACAAACAGTGAGGAAAACATGTTTTGTTATTTTTAGAACAGCAGAAACCTTTAAATCAGAACAAAAACAAGCAATGATCGTTATTAAAGAAGGTGTTCGAAATTAAGGCCCCTGACAGTGATAGAAGTTTCACTTCTGTGGCGCATGGAAGATCTGAACCACGAATCGAAGATGAAGGACGCACGTCTCCTGCAACACGGTCCCAGGTCGTAACTTCGAACACCGTTGATGATCGTAGTCTCTTTATGTTGATTTGCTTAGGTGTGCAGAGTACACATCGACGAAAACGTTGGAGAACCCCTGCTTTTAAAAAAGTAAGAAACTATACTGAGTCATCTGAAAGCCTCATTTCGAAACTGGCCAAAATTTCTTAGTTCTTAAACGGAGACATAAATCTGAAACAACTGTAGCGGGTGTCAGCAGGCCCCATAGTATTCTCTTATGACTATGAGCTGCAGATGGACTGAAAGAGGAAAACATAGTACTTGAACATGTAACTGATTTCTGCGTTCCGGGAAAAAGGGAATAAATATATCGTAAATTTGAGTTATTGATTATGCCTGTATATTATTCAAAGCGTAAAATTCCACTGCATTTCTAGAAAGGAGCAACGAAATGCATCTTTGTTCCCAGAAGAAATTATCTTCGTTTTCTCTGGTCTTTTCCAAAATATGAATATGTATGCCAGTTAAATGAAAGAAATTAAATCCGTTTTTGAAAACAAAATCAGCAATCTTAGTGCGGTGCGGATTTAAGGTAAACTAAAATTCAACGATATATATTTTGTGGGAAAAGAAAATAAATCGAAATTGAACGCCGTGTTGAAACATCATCACTAAGTATACTTTCACAGCACGAAATATACTGTTCATTAAATATTCCTTGTTATGTCACGAACTACAGTCTCTTACTTTAAAATATTAGCTACACTGTCATTTTTCCCCAGAAAAATTACTCAAAACCATGGAAAGGATAGCTGTGGTGAGAGAGGGTCGAATTGTGCTAATGTGCTTATTCCCTGTCTTGATGACGAAAAGCATAATTACCCTGCATTACCCTATTTAAATAAACAGACTACGACAATGAAAAAGAAAAAAGTAATTATTTCAACAATATGAAAATGTAACTCACCGGATAAAATTGCTGCCAAAAATGCGACGAGAACCATTAAGTAAACTAGGTAAGCTTCCATCGCAATGGTTTTCTGTTATTTTCTCGACTCGGTCACAGTAGTTCTACGGAGTAGGGCAGAAATGATCGAAGATATGCATATGTTGTTGTTGCGGTATTTATTGTCTAAGATGATGCATAAAATTTAATGTCATGTTGAAGAAACCGATATACGTGAGTTTTCTTTGCAACAGCTGGACTCTTAAAATTGTTTGATAATTGTTTGCTCTTTTGTCATCGGATATGTGAGATGATTGGAGGTATGAATTGATGATGAAGCACTCCGGAACTGTTGTAATAGGTGTATCTCGGAAAAATACTTTGTTTCTTCGTTTCTTTGCTCTTCTATCAGGTATTTCCTTTTGTATGCCGGTTTTTTTATTACGATACGTACACAAAACATGGAACAATTATTTCTAGAAATATAACTGGTATTAAAATCGTTTACCAGTTAAAGATAAGATCTTAATGTTCATGCAGTTCCTTCTGAATATGATTTCAACTCGGTTATTTCTCAATGCAATAACTTCTAAAAATTCAAGATTATTTTTCCATTAGGGCAAATTTAGCATTGATGTATAACCCTTGCAAAACAATGTAAATGATACATATTTACAATAAACATATGTTGTTTAAATTATGATGAACGGGTAATACTATGTCTGGAAGTTTTATTAACTATTCTTCAAGACCGTACTGGACTATCAAGAAAGTTATCGTTCCAATCTGTATTAAGATGGAAAAGTTTGAAAAAGATTAAAATACGTTTTTCTGTTGAACTCTTGAAATTAACAAAAGACATTGCTTGTTCTACAGAAGAAACTCCACTACTTGCGGGTATCTAAAATAACACAAACATGAAATTTTAAATTCAAGTAGCGTAGATTTCAACTACACACAAAATAGTCTACTTAAGCTTACTCAAGTATTTTTGGAATACTTGAAAAGAAAAAATGTCTACAGCTGGAATAAACATTGGCAGACCTGGCCCGGCAGTACGTAATTGCGACGAGGCAGTAACTCCACCCCTGAAACGTTCAAATCCGCAGCTGAGTAAGTAAACTGCATTCTCGTGAGGTCGGCACAAAGAAGAAATTATAGTAAAATTCCAAACCATGGTACACTGTTGGCCATTAAAATTGAAAAACCATGAAGGAAAGCAAATACAAAAAAGATATTTATTGTACGTAAAACATTACGACATGAAGACAAAATGATCAAATTTCTAAGCAGTCTGGCGGTTTACAGGGGTGCGAAATTAGTAGAAACAGCTGCCACACCTGGCATGACGAGATGTTTTCAATGGGTGACAGATCTGGAGACAGTGCAGACCAAGGCAGCAATCGAACACCCTTTGTGTCGAGGAAGGTCAGAACACTACATGCAACATGTGGTCTTGCATTATTTTGTTGGCAGGTCTCGAAGATAGAGCACAACCGCTGGACGTAAGATGACAGAAATGTACCGATCTGCGTTCAAATTACAGTCGATCCAAACTAGAGAGATATGTGTCGTAAACCTAATGGCTTCCCAAACCATCATACCAGATGCAGGGTTCATATACCGATATCGAATGCAAGCCGGTGAGGTGCGTTTTCTTCGGAGCCTTCAGACACGTATACAGAACAGAGACTCGTCTGAAAAGACGATATTGTGCCACTCCATATCCAGCTATGTCGTCAGGCGCAGTAAAGCCGAAGTGCCTTTTTATGCTGCATTGTCAAGGGAAGACGAAGTAATGGTCGCCGTGGTGATAGTTAATGCTGCTGCAGACATCAACACAAAGTACGAGCGGATACAGGGTGTGCTGCAGACATACGCATTTCGGATATGTGGCTGTCGCTGCAATTCTCTATCATCTTGCCGGTCCTTGCTCCTCAGGCTGGGGTACCAATTTTCTTTTCATAGCACCCTCTTCTATTCTTCTTGACTTCCTAGTGAACGTATCCTCTGGAGGTGGTCTCTTTCTCCATTCGACACTCATCATGCGATTGTCTGCTGTGTTATGCCATGCGTTTTGTTGCTTGTTCCACTTCGTTCATTTTCTTTTGCTTGCCGGAGAACACTCTTGTCTCTTGTGCTGACTGTAATAGATTCCATTTTGCTGACCGCTAGTGGTATTCTGGTGCCTCTTGTGCTGCTTGGCTGGGATCCCATTTGCTTTCCTTTTAGAAGCCTCATCTGGTAACCGTGCCCTGGCTGTAGCTGTCTCTGTTCTTGGCTCGGAACTTTATTTCCATCGGCTTTCCTGGAGCTCTGCAATAAGTCTTTATGAAGCGTCGTATCCCAACGATCATAATACATTTTAATATCAGCTTTAGACTCTTTACCATTGGCACTTTGTAAGAATTACCGTTGTTTCAGAATACTTTGAATAAACTTTGAAACTTTTCCTTCGGGAGCACATGATACCTTGTGTTTCAATTTTAACACTTTGTCCATTGCTTTATAATTTCCTTCCCTCCACCTTTTATCGTAATAATATTTTTGTTTATTTATTGACATATCAGAATATTTAATGGCCAATCAAGTAATTTTTTATATCTGACATGTCAAATTTAGGAACATGCTTTTGCACGAAAAATACTCTATCATTTTCCTTTCTAAGAATAATTCCGCGTGTTTCCAGTCGTATCGTAGGTCATTGTGCGTCAAACGCGAGCTGATTAACCGAATCATTCCAAAATCTGTGATAGGTTTTCACGTACTTGCGAATAGTTTTAAACCTACTACCATATAAACCATATGAAACTGCAACTATTTTGGTAGAAGAACTATTCAGGGGAATTATTTCTACCCATTTGCTAAAATGATCAACAATTACACGTAAAATAACGGTGTTTATTATTATCACTCCGCGAATATGGCCCTAAAAGATCGATTCCTAGCAATTCATTGGGGAAATTAGCCTTAATACTATGTAGCGATCCAGCCGGCCGGTAATTAACATTATTAACTATTTGGCATATATGACAGAATTTGACATATTCTGTAACAATTTCCTGCAATTTTGGAAGGAATACCGCCTCTCGTATATGATTAACTGTTTTCCTAATTCCGAGATAACCATATATCGGCGCATCGTGTAATTCTTATAAGACACTAAGTCTCAAACTCGTTGGGATGACCCGCCGTAACTCATTATTTTCGTTTCTAAATTTTGAATACTACAATTGATTATCGATGATTTCATAGTGAGCGGCTGTATTTCTAATAGCTGTTAAATCTGCACGCTCAATGCTATATGTATCCTGCAGATACGGAAAAATGTTTCTAAACTCCGGGTCAGATTTTATTTCAACGATAATAGTGTCTCCAGAATTTAAAATTATTGAAGTCAGCATCATGTATTTAACATGATTACGCTGTTCATCTAGTTTCATGCGAGAAAGAGTATCTGCGACAACATTGTTTTTGCCTGGTAAATGCTTAAATACTAAATTGTATGCTTGCAGCTTAAGTGTCAATCTTATCAACCGTGGTGACAGAGCTTTAAATGAGTAAAGCCTAAGGATGGCAGCATGGTCAGTGTATACCGTTATGGGCAGTTTTACTCGAAATTTTTGAACCGCTAGTAATACAACTTGTTTTTCACACTTAATAGCCGTATAATTCCTCTGGGTGTCTTACTAAAATAGGCTACTGGCTGCCAAGTTTGAGATACAAAAGGCTCCTACAAAGACCGAAGATTCTTCAGATATTTCAAGCTGACCCTCTGGGTCAGGAAACTTTAGCACTGGGGCTGTGATTAATGCTCTCTTTTATTGTTCAAACGCCATATTGACTTCTTTCGACAAACATAATTCAGCCTTTTTCCGTTTTAGTGTTAAGAAAAGCTCAGATATATGTGCGAATTTTTTTAAAAAGGATCTGTATATGAGCTATAATATGAACTATATATATGAGCACATGCCGAGAAATGAGGCAAGGGTTTTCGAAGTATTTAGGTGGAGGGTAACTTTTAATTGCAATCATTTTCGAATCTTCGATTTCGATACCTTTAGCGAAAGTTTTATAACCTAAATACTTAACTTCCTTTTCCTCGAATTTACACTTGCTGGCATTCACTTTTAAACCAGCATCTTCTAAAAGTGTGAAGATGTTTGTCAAATGCTTGATATGCTCGTCTATCGAATCACTAGTAACTACAATACCATCTAAATAGATAAATGTTGATTTTCCAAAAGCTGGTCAAAGAATAATGTCTATAGATCTTTGGAAAGTAGGGGGGGCACATAAACGGAATGACATAAGTAGAAATGTGTAAACGCCAGATTTTTTGAAAAACGCAATTTTTTTAACATCCTCTGGTTTTATAGTGATCTGAAAACAACCAGAGGTAAGATCCAGCGTTGCCATATTCTTCATGAACTTAATTTGTCTAGTTATCTCTTCTATGATCGGTAGTGGGTATGTGAAATACTTCAAGATATTATTAAGCTTTTCGTAGTCTATGACGAAATGTCTTGCTTCACTTTCAGTAGGGAGAATATCGTTCTCTTTGCGACATAACACGACTGGGCTTGTAAATGGGCTGCTAGAAGGCACAATAATGTCGTTCTTTAACATGTCTGCTACATGTTCGTCAATTATCTGTTCTTTAACTTTGTGATACCGGTACGGCTTAGCCCTTCACGGTAAAATTGTTCTAATGTCCATCGCGTGATTTACTACGTGGATAAGGCCAGGTTGATTGCTAATTAAATTAGCAAAGTCACTTAGCAATTTCTCCAATTTTTCCATTTTCTCTATATCCTCGGTTATCAGCTCTCTTAGTTCCAACGTTGGAGGCTTGAATACAACATTCTTTTTCTCTGACACATCCAAACTGGTCATAGCATATTGAAAGCTGATGCGTGCTGCCGCTGACTTGAGAAAATTTATCCCTGCAATGATAGTTGCTTGCAAGGTTTTAACTACAATAAAAGTAACTATCTGTTGCTCACCATTCACCTGCTCGTGGAGTGGCAATTTTCCAATGCAAGCATAGCGTATCTCTTGGGCTGCAATCCCTGCCGTACCTTCGGTGTTGAATAACCTGTAACATTTAAAATATTGGCTAAAACATTTCCCCCCAAAAA